AGGTTTAGAGAACAGATTGGTTGTTGCCAGAAGCAGAGAGATGGGGGTGGGAGACACGCATGATGGTGGTCAAAAGATATATACTTCTATTTATAAAATCAATAAGTCATGAGATGTAACATGGAATGGTGACTATAGTCGATACACTGTTGTACATTTGAAAGCTGCTGAGAGTAGATCTTAAAACTTCTCGACACAAGAAAAGAAATTTGTAACTATGTGTGGTGATAGATTGTAACTAGATAGACTTACTGTGGTAAACATTTCATGACATACAAATACCATCTTATTGTATATCTGAAATATGTTATATGTCAGTTATATTTCAATTTAAAAAAATCTTGCTGCTTAGACTCTACATCCTCATGGGGAGAAATTAACATGAATTGGGTAGTAAAAGCAACCTCTAAATAAATAAATAAATAAATAAATAAATAAATAAATAAATTTTTTTTTTTTTTAAAGTAACCTCAAATGACCAAGATCTTGCAGGTAAAGAGTTTGACTGGGCAAGACCAGCAAGGCCTGGAGATTGTTAAGATGGCTAGACTAGAGCCAGAGATCTGAATGAAGTCCTATGTCAATTCCTTTCCAGGGGTAAGAGCTTAGGAAATCATTTAGACTCTCTGAACCTCAGTTTCCCCTCTATAGAAGCCATGTGATATACGGATTAAGATCGCAGATTCTGTAGCCAGCCTGCCTTGGCTCTGTAACTTGGGCAAGTTAACTGACCTCTCTGGGCCTCAGTTTGTTTATTTGTAAAAGGGAGCGTGAAAATGGTATAAGGCCTACATTCTCAGGGTTCTTAAGAGAATTTAATGACTCTCATAAAGCACTTTTAATAGTGTCTGGCACAGAGTGCTATAAATACGTTTGCTGTAATGACACGACTATAAAATCAAAGAGTTGATTTAAATGGTTGACTTCAGTTCCCGCACCAGCATTATGTGATCCAGTAGGCTGTCAATGGGCACTCGGCCTTGCTTGATGTTTAAGGGAATGGTGAGACCATGAGACAACATACCTCGAAAACAGAAATCCTAGATATTTTCCAAAATTTTGAGTGAAGCCAAGGGTACAGATGGGAATTGGTGGGAGCGCAGGTAAAGCATCCCTCTCTGTGAGCAGGGGAAGAGGGAAATTTTTTGATGTTGTTAAGTATGATTAGGGACATGGAGGGAGTTATATAAGAGAAGCTTCTGAGATGCAAGAGACTTTGCAAAACTGGGTGTGGGGCATGGAGGAGTGTGCAGGGGAAGATCTATATGACAAACATCCTGCTCTGAGATGTGGATATTGTGGCGGGGGCAGGGTAGGGTGGGTGGGTGCATGGGTACAGTCAGGTTGTGCAAATACATTCCATAGGTAGGCCCTTCAAGGAGCAATGGGGCGGGGTATCCCTTTGGATTTGGTAATGTCTCTTTAGCCTCTCAAACTCCCTACAGTTTTAGTTGGGTTTTGAGAGGTGCCTATGTAAGTAAAGTATGAGAATGTGGGGCTCGTCCCCCCACATTGAAGAGAGCTATGGCACTATGGCTATGTTCAGCATCTGGGGGAGATGAGCACCACTGTCCATGGTGTCCTTGGGGTCCAGTGGAGGCTATGTGTGCTGCCAGCCAGGGGGCAGGTCAGGCAGTTTAGACAGGCCAGGCCTCACTGTTTAGACAGCAGGTGCTCTGGCAACATGGGCAATCTACTGAGCTACTTTTTGCTCTCCCGGAGTTGAGATTGAGTCATAACAGTAACCATAACCTCAGGGCTCCATGAGTCGACCTCTACATCCTTAGAAGTATGAGTGGAGTAGAACATAACAGGTTTTCATCTATTATGAGAGAGAAAGGGAAGGAGAGAGGGGCTCACACTGAGCGCAAGCCTTATGACATGTGGATGAAGGCTTCCCAGGGAGATGGGCGGAGGAGGGTCAGCCCAAGGGGGCCCCATCTCTCTGGATCTGGAAGTGAGTAAAGGTGAAAGTACCTGCACACAGCTCAGAACTGGTGGGGGCTGGCTTGTAGGCATCACCAGAGGATCTCAGACATTACATAAAAAGCCTTGATCTCCTTTCTCCAACAAGACAAGACATTTCCTTGACCCAAAATATAGCCCTGAGAAGTAAACTGTGAAACTGATGACAATGGGTAATTTCATCTTTCTGGAGCCATTTCTATTTTCCAGGTACTGTGCTAAGTGCTTTGTGAGCAGTAGGTATCTCATATGGACCTCACCACAATCCTATGAGTTAGGTTCCATTGTTAGTTTTATTTTACATGAGAAGACATAGTTGTACAAAGAAATTATAAGGCCACTAAATGGCAGCACTGGGATTTGAACCAAGATTCCAGTTTAAAACCTGATTTTTTTTTTAAACGATCACACAAGAGCCCCAAACTGAGTAGTCCAGTCTACCTAGTGAGTAGCAGTCCAGTCTACCTGGTGAGTAGCAGCCTCAAACCCTCCAGCTTTGAAGAGAAAGGAACAGGTAAGTGTGCAGTATCCTGACAGGTGTCTTAGAAATAGGCACAGTCTCACCTCCAAAATGTGAGTTCTGGGAGGAGTGGTATTGGCCACAATTTCTACGTGCATACATATAACAGTCTCATACTGGTAAGCTTACAGCACTGAAACCATCTTCCCAGGCCCTGCACTTAGCATCACAGTGACGTGGAGCCAATTCCCCTTTCCCTAAACATGGCTGTCAGTGGGTGACAGATGTTCAAGTAGGATTTCTGTGTGATTTGTCCCTTGATTTTTTTTGTGGACCATTTCTAGCTCAGTGACTACAAAACAAATCAATCACCAAGTAGAAATACACTGGAATCCTAAATTTAGGCCTGGCAAACAGAAATACTCTAACATTATTGAGAAATCTGGCTTTAAGGAACACACCAATTACACCAAATCTCAGTGAGTAACACATAATTTAAATGACTTGCCGGGATGACAAAATTCAGCCATCCCAAATTTAGGCTCTGTGCATATTTAGAAGGCAAATAGTTGGTCTAATAGGTTTATCATTATCACTCAGTTTTGAGGAACAAGAGAATTTCTAGCAATTCTATGATTGTTTGTGGCTGGAGCTCCATCTCAGACTATTGGATTACTCAGTGGATTAGCAAACAGCCAGCTAAGGTAGGAGAAGGAAGTAGTCGTGAGCCCAGAAAGGTGCCATCAGAAGCCATTACATCATGCTATTCTTAGGGTTACCTCTACAGGTGGCCTATGATGGCTGGCACTCTGCTTACAATCAAGGCCTTAGTTGTAGGCTTGCAAAATGCTCATGGAGGATGTCCCTCCAATCATTCCAACACATGACTCCCTGCAAACACCTATGCCCACATCCTCATCCTAGAGGTCAGGTGACACTCACTCTAACTTGAAGGTTATGGAGTAGCTCACATCAAACATTTTAATTTAGTTGGCCCCAAACCACTCTAAACTTGACCTTGGAATAAAGTCATCTATCAGAGCTTTTCTAATTAAATTGGCATAAATTAAGGCTTAATGTCAAAATCAGAACTTGGTCATAGAAACCAAAACACAGATGATGCCAGGTGCTTCTTGTATGCAACCTCTGTGCTGTGTTGACCCATACAAAGGCATTTTTTTTTTGTTCAACTACAAATTACTATATTCTTTAACAAAAGAAGGGCAAAACTCAATGTGTCAGGTCTGCTTACCTTTAAGGCAAACATAAAGAAAAGTGCCTCTCTGTGGACTCCTCATCCATGGACTCCTCTGACTGGTCAGATGCTCCCAGGCAAGGATGTAAAGGGGAATGAGTTTCAACCCAGGAGCACTGGTCTGGTTTGAGCTTTGCCGTATTAATCAGTTTAATCAGAATCACCAGCTCTTGGGCAACAGCTTTGTGTGCCTGGATTCCACCACACGAGTGTAGCTCAAAGCGGGGGCCCAACCAGCAGCATTGGTACCACCTGGAGGTCGTTCAAAACCAAAGTCTCAAAGCCTACCCAGACTTACAGAATCAGAAACTCCCAAGATGGAGGTGAACATTCTGTGTTTGAATAAATCCTCTAGTTGAGCCTAATGTTTGCCAACATCTGTGAATGACTGCACTGTGTCATGAGGCCCCCTTATTAAATCAAGCTCTAAAGACAACTGAAGAAGAAACCAGCCTCATTTTGAAATCAAATAAAGGTGGTTGAAAAAGACTGTGCTTGGGTGGGACATGCCAAAGAGTATCTGCCTACTAGTAAGAAAGAGGCAAGAGATGTATTTGATTGTCATGAGTCATTTTGGCAGAAAAATGGGCTTTTTCCCTAGTCAAGATATATCATTAAAAAAAAAAAGAAAAATATTAGGCCACTGTTTTCCAAGAAAAATAACTAAAGCCAGAGTTATTTTCTATTTTAATAATTTTGCCGGGTTGTCAGTAATGCTGCTTGAACATTTCATGAACAATGTTTAGGTCTCCTCAAGCAAATACAAACTATATCACATTGTCAGTAATATTAGATCCATAAGTACACTCTGATGAATCTGTGTGACTTTATGCATTGATCTACTGCCTCACTGCAGCTTTATTACTTAAAATTCTTAACTTCCCTTTTTGTTTCCAGTTTTCCTTACATAGAATAGATTTCACTTGGTGATTAGATAAGACGCTGACCCATTATCCTTTAGGCTTCCTGAGTTTGCTGACTTATAAGCATTCATGAGCCTGTGGGTAATGCTTCCAGGTGAAAAATACTATATTGGTTTTATAAGGATTGACTCAGAATCTGACACCCAGTAACAGAAGGTCATACAAATCATAACATCAACACTAGACTTTATTACATTTATTTGTAATTTATTTTGCTTATGGCTTATCATCTTACAAGAAGAAAAACATTATTGACATAGAAGAAGTTGCAGCCAATTTGATCCCAAGAGGCATCTATCTGCTTCAAACATTCCTTATTGGCAAAACAATATTGTTTGAAAATTTACCAGAATTAATTCAGAATTTACTAATTCCTAAAAAAAGATATGAATTCCATCAGGGTGCTGGGCTCTACTATCAAAATCTCAATTGAGGACAACCTGACATTTATATTCTAAAACAAAAGTGCATCATAAAATTAATAAGTTAATGAACTAAAAGACATACACCCTTCCTCTAAGATAAAAAGACTTAATTTACAAGCCACTATCGACACTTTCAACAAAAGCAACAAAATGAAGCCATATAAATTTATTTGTGAAGGATTTTGAGACTCAACTTATATTTTAATATTTTGTTCATATATAGCCAGCAGCAAGAGAGAAAGCCAACCTAGGGTCAATCCAAAGTTCTGCAGGAGAAACATCAACCAGGGTCGCCGTGTTTGAACATGAGTCATTTCAGGAAGCTAAAAAAAGAATAAAAAACCAGAATAAGATCCAGATATATTCACTGCTGGGAAAAGTTTGGTGGGAAAACATGAGAGGCTCTGTTATTCAGAACTTAATAACCTTTCAAATTCCCCAAACAGTTACAAAATGCTTAATACCTACTCTTGACCAAAATTTAAAAATGTAAGATAAATTAAGTCATTCGGCTGTGGTTAGAAGGATCCTAGGGGTTGCCAGAAGTCTTAAAATGACATAGTGATCAGCTGAAAGCAAACCCAGAACTTTTTACTTCTGTGTTCAGAAAGCACTTAAATGTGAAATAGATAACAGATTGAAAGTATTATTTTTGAGTGTTCTGCTAGGTTTATGAAGCCGTTAAATGCAGTGGTTGGTACAAAGTACACATTTGTCTCCTTTCAAAGAGATCACAAGGTCTTCCTGACCTTTAGAATCATAAAGACATCATGCCCTAAGACTGTACGTGACTCTCAGAGAGGCAAGTGGCTGCTGTATCGTTAGTGGAATGACTTCAACACCATGTAGAGGAGAATGTTCTTGTGGGTATCTTGGGGAAGCACCTCAACGTGTCCTTTTTTTCTTTGTATTTTTTTTTAATTGAAGTAGAGTTGACACACATTGTTCCATTAGCTTTGAGTGTACAACATAGTGAATTAATATCTCTATACCTTAGGCTATGCTCACAAGTGTAGCTACCGTCTGTCAACTTACAAGGCTATAATACCATTGACCATGTTCCCTATGCTGTATCTTTCATCCCCATGATGTTTTCATCTCACGTTCCTTTGAATCCCTCATCCTGAGGAGATGAGAGTGAGTGTATCTCTTGTACGACATGGTCATTTCCATTGGAAATCTGGCTTAAGTCAACATGGAGGAAAGACTTAATCTGACAATGACATTATTGACATTTTGGGTCAGATCATTCTTTGTTCTATGTTATGGGGGCTCTCCTGTGTGTTAGAGGATCCCTGACTTCTACCGGATGGATGTCAGCTGTACCTGACCCCAGCTGTAACAACCAAAAATGTATCTAGATGTTGTCATATGTCCCCTGAGGGGGGGCAAAAAAAATCACTTCTGTTTGAGAACTACTGGATTATTTACAGAAAAAAAATATAAAATATGCAAGGGCTTTAGGTACATGGCAAAAAAGGTTGATGTATTCTTTTGCTCGGTTGACATTTTTTTTTAATGTCTGTACAAGAGTATTCTGAGTGCTCTCTTTGGGTATTTCTCCCTTTTAACTAGATAAACTGACAGAATTAAGATTAGGATGATTATGACCTGCTCTCACACCCTAACATGGATGAGTTGAACAAAAGGCAAAGTAAGATCCAAAAATGCTGTCCTGGGTGGATGACCTTAAACAAAATATGTGTCCTTTTGGTGTTTTTCTGCCATATTTAAACATGAGGTTAACCATGCTTCTTTAGAGTAACCCTGTATGGTTCATCATCTATTATACATTTAAATGGCATTTTGAAAATCCATATACTGTTCCCAAAAAGCTGGCAATTAATTGATGGTACTCTTGAGGGATTAACAAGATACAGGCATTAAAATTACCCAATACATCTGATTCTCAACAGTCTATAAGCAATTTCCAAGAGTTGACTTCAAAGACAGACGATGTAGGTGGCCAGTTTCCTTCTGTCTCAATAATTTGTATATCAGACCATCTGTGAGACACAATTATGCCATTTTATGTCAAAGGCTCAAACTTTGATTAACCTTAATTCCAAATACACTAAGACATTGCATTGTTCCCTCACCTTCTTGTTTTTCAAGCAAGGTAATTAATATTCATCGGAAGATATGGATGACTTAACAGCTTACCTTATGTCTACTGTGTCTAGTGCCACCTGGCTATTCATCTCTGATGAAGTGGAAGTAATTTCTAAAAAGATTTTTTGGGGCAAGTACTCACAAAATATGAATAACTGACTGAACCATCATGATGGTTTTCAGTGAATTGTTGAGAAAAACAGACAAGATATAAAGCATGGTGGTGGAAATGGTTCTAGTTCAACAGATAGAACTTGAAATATATTTTCAAACCATCAATGTCTTAACCTACACATTAGAAAGCTCATTTTCTAATTCCATCTTTGCCTTGAACTTCTACTGAGAATCTTCAGTTGGAAAGAAGTAGGTCTTAATTAGGTAGATTTAATAGCCTCAACATGAAACTGCAGAGATTAAATTAGTGTCTTGGGATGTCGTTCATAATCCCAATTAGCTTCTGTCCCAACTAAATCAAAATACCACAATTTTTAAAACAATTGTTTGACCTATTGTTTTTTTCACCGGCCTAAATTTATAGAGCATCTGTTGGTTTGTAGTGTGCAACACATGGTAGCATTAAATAAATGTGTTTATAAGGGCTTCTAGGCTATGTCAGTGGACCCACTCCCAGGAAGAACACCAAGAATTCTATATTCTGAGTATGTGGATGGCATTATCCACAGGAAAACATCATGAGTATTTTACAACTCTAGGAGCCACCATTCACATGAACTCAATGTTTTCTGGGAAATTTTGCAACAAGATTCCAGCTTTTTACTTTTTGGGGGGCATTTTTTTTTGCTTTTTACTTTTTAATCAAAGAACTGGCTCTACAATATCTTGCCATCCATGTAGGTGTGCCTTCCAGCAGCTCATCTTTCCCTTGAGGTCTTCCAGGATGCTGGGGCTGATAGTCTTATGCAGCACTTACTTTCATTTACATCTGTCTTACCATGTGCTTTCTTATATTGTCCCATTTACTCCTCATAATCCTGCAGGAGAGAAAACTATTAACTCCTTTTAGTTTTGAGGAAATAATGGCTCAAGGAGGATAATGACTTACTCAAAGTCATATAGATGTGATGTCAGAACTAGGACAAGAAGTCAGCTCATCTCATTACTGTAGAGGACTGTAGGAGTGCAGACAATATTGGCTCTATCTTTGGCCCTCCATCATGTTCATGTTTGCTCAGTGACCTCCTTTGGGGCTACATGTTCCAGGCCCCTTGGAGATTAATACATACCTTAGAAATGCCCACCCAGGCTGGGATTTGGGGAAGGCTTGTTTTGGTCTCCCCTGAATCTGTTAGAGATAACATAGTTATTCCTCCTTCCTGATGCACAGGTGATGCCCAAGATCTAATTAAAGATTAGCTGTTAATTAGGGGCAGGAAAGTCCTTTGAGGTATGTGTGACAATGCCCTTCTGTGTGTCCCCTCACTCTATATAATCTGTGCCCTAAGGTCTGGATATTGCAGAGAATAGCTATGCGGCTGCTGTGGATCATTGCCTGCCCAATCCCCCCACCCCTACCCTCTGTCAGTAAATTACCCTGTATAAGATTCTATGTAAACTAAATGGAATGGCCTCTTCATTTTCTATTCTCCAAGTGCCTTCTCAGTTAGTGTCCCTCTTCCACCTTCTTCTTTTTTTTTTTTCAAGATTTTATAGATTTATTTGAGAGAGAGCGAACTCAAGCAGGGCCAGCAGCAGAGGGAGAGGGAGAAGCAGACTCCCCACTGACCAGGGAGCCCAACTCAGGCTCCATCTCAGGATCATGACCCAAGCCAAAGACAGATACTTAACCAACTAAGCCACCCAGATGCCCCTCTCCCCTACCTTCTAACAAGGACATTCAAAGACCTGTAAAGACCAGCATTCTACCTGAAACTCATCTCTATTATGACCAATTCCTTTCTACCTAATTAGAAAAAAGTGGAAATATCAATGCTAAAAATGTACAACTAAACATAAAAGTCATTGCATGTGATAAAAACATAGAGAAAATATATTGTGCAACATATAGATATCATACTGCTTTTGTTATAACAGATATGTTATTAGGTTCTGTTTTCAAGGCAGACCACATGTACTTGAAAAAAGCTACTGAAAAAAGACTACTTTGTAAGCCTATAGAAATAGACAGAGAAAATCAACATTTCAGAAAAAGTTTAAGGAGATTCTCATTGTGATATGGATCATCTTATTCTGGATTGTCTATATGAACTTTTCATGTCTGCACATAAATGAGATTGGTAAGAAAGTCCAGCTAAGCTTGCTTTTGAGACAATACTTGGTTCTTTTTTGGATAATTATGGATGAATATGTAAATTGTAATATTTCTTGGATATACACCAAAATGCCAAATACCAGAGAGTCTTACAAAAAGTCTTTCTAAAAGATCCATATATAAAATGCCAAATCTCAACAACGTCTGCCACATTTCACTTACTTATGTATTTTTTTTTATCATTGCAGTCAGTAAATTTTGAAGGAAAATAAAGATCCATAGAGTTTATTTCCAAGGGTATGTATTTTGTTTTTTCTTTAAAAAAAATTCTGACATCAGTTTTAGTGCTCCCCATTTTCCCTGGATTTCAAGAGAGGGCAATTAAATTCTTTTGTTGAGCAGTTTTACAGATCTTAACTTTCTTTTATCCTAAGACTAGAGGGGCTGAAATGTTGGATAGAGCATGTGAATAATGAAGAAAAAGGTCAGGAAAAAAGAGAAGAAATGTTAGCAAAATACCTTTGCCCAGAGATAGAGCTAAGATATATTTTTTTAGATTTCTACCAGAAACTTGGAAACCTTGAGGTGGAAAGTAACTTACTTTTTTAGCAAGTTCCCCAACTCAAATCAGCAGATGCCAAAACATGATAGTAATTTTCTGGTGAAGAAGAAAGAAAGAAGAAAGAAAAAAGAAGAAAGAAAGAAAGAAAGAAAGAAAGAAAGAAAGAAAGAAAGAAGAAAGAAAGAGAGAGAGAGAGAAAGAGAGAGAGAGAGAAAGAAAGAAAGAAAGGCACAATGACCACGACAAAGGGGGAGGGAGGAGGAGGAGAAGGATGAGGGGAAGGGAGGGGAGGGGGAAGAGGGTGAGGAGAGAGGGATAAGGAGGAGAAGAAAAAGAAGAAGAAAAATCTTTACTTAAAAGATAGCCCTTTATCATGCCATTGTTTTGTTTTGTTTTCAAATTTAAATCAGACACAGCAG